CCCAAAGACTCGCCTCAACAGTACCTTGAGTTGTGAGAACTCAATAAACCCTACAGAACACTGGTGACAAAAACAACTCTTAGAGCTAAAATAGAGTGGAAAAACGGAAGGAAAATGGAAGCACAAGCCACATGCAACTACACAGATTGCATGTGCTAGTTCAAGGACAGAGAAAAGCTTGCATGGAGGGACTTACCAACTTAGAATCAAAAACTAATCGAATGGTTACGAAGCTCTCCACGCTGCGGACGTTTTGGCGTCACCTAAGCAGAAATTCAGTGGCTCAGTGAAGAGGGATGAAAGAGAGAAGACAGAGATATGGTAGAGAGAAGGCAGAGATATGGTAGAGAGAAGACAGAGAGAAAAAAAAGGAAGAACTGAGTTTTTCTTATAAAGAGAATGGGTTGTGTTAATGAACCAGAACGTGTATGAAAATGGGCTTTTAAATGAAAGGTTTCTGGTTTCATTAAACTAACTACCCCATTAACTTTATAATTATATTTCAACTACCCCATTAACTTTATAATTATATTTCAGGTTCTTACATATTTATTTTCATTTCTTTTCACTTTCAACTCTCTTACTCTTAATCTAAAGTATCTCATATTTTAGTTTCTTTTCTTCTAAACCCATATATTTTTACTCATTCATCCTCAAATCCAAAGGAATGACATTTTCATGTTTTTATACATTCATTGGTTTTTACACAAACATGATATTTACCCAAACTTCAAGTTTCCATGGTTGGAAACTTTGAAGTTTCCATGGTTGGAAACGAACTTTTTTTTATTGTGTTTAATAACATGAATATCGACTATACCCATATAAAATAGATGCCAATTGAAATTACAATAATAAGTTTTGTATTATATTAACACTTTTCTATTAAAGTTGTTTTAGTTTTACTTATATGAAATTTGAGAATGAATAAAACAAATTCTTCATTTTTCTAAATCATGGCACTTATGTGANAGACGGTCCAGATCCACTGGGCACCGGTCGAAACTGTGACCGTGGCCGACGAGAAGGCGGCGCATGACAAACACGCACCCGAGACTAGCTGAAGACAGGCGACGCATGGAGGCGCGTGAAGAGGAGTCTGGTCTTAACTCCAACGAGGTTGGCCGTCGCTCGAGGAGACGGTCCAGATCCGCTGGTCACCGGTCAAAACCGTGACGGTGGCCGGCGTAGATCGGAGAGATCTGATGCTCGTGGCGGCGTGTGAGGGAGAAGTAGCTTCCGAAACTGACGTGGTTGGTCGTCGCTCGAAGAGACGGTCCAGATCCGTTGGTCACCCGTCGAAACTGTGACGGTGGCCGACGGCGGACAGAGGTTGGCGGCGAACAGTGGCTAGCGACGACGGAGAGGGGCGATCGATTGGGTTGTGGCTCGCGACGGTTGCTTGTTACGGAGGGAGTGTCTTTCTAGGGTTCCCAGGAGACTTTAGGTCTCTTTGATTTTGGGTGCTGAGATTTAAGAAGAAGAGAAAATGGATCTTATGAAAATTTTAGGGGTTGTCGGCCGCCGGCAGACAGCAATGACCACCATAAGAGATTAGAGAACCTGCTCTGATACCATGTTAAAATGGAATACAGGAATATCTATTACTTGAGGTCTTAAACACCTCTACACTTACATTTATAGAAAACAAAGTAACTAACCACACTCCTTTCCAACTCACTCTTAGTTGGAACACACTTGAACACAACTCATACACACATAACTCATACACAATAACCAATAATTCTAACAGCCTCTACTGCTTTGCAAAGCCATTACCAATGGGTTTCACCTTACCACACTCACGAGGTTAGTCAGTTATCACTCACCTTGGACCATACTAGAAGCACCCAAGACTAGGACCTCCTGCTACTCCTCACCACATGGATTAATCCTCTCTACTTGTGAATGAAAGACCATTGGAGCGTCAGGAAAACCCCCAAGACTAAGCTACCATGCAAATCATTCTAAACACTAAGGGTACCACCATGAATCTTCTCCTTGAAGATCAGTAACTTACGTCCAACACTATTGGGCACCACCACGTAACCTCCCTTTGAGGTCCATGGATTTACGTCCATCAACCATACTTGTTACATTCAATCACCAAACATGTTTCATACCATCACATACTATCATTTCAATAACATTACTACCATCATGTTATGCATTTCAATCATTCCACACACTTGGTTCACCCAAAACAAGAGCAAAAGAGAAGACTGGACCCAAAAGCGTTTGCACAGCGCACCCTATTCGCAAGGCGAGACAGGATGGTCTCGCACAGCGCACCCCGTAATTCGCCATGCGAATTAACTCGCAGTATGCATCAGACTTTCAACCTCTCGCATAGCGCACCCAGGTCACTATGCGAGAGCCTAGATAGAGACCAACCACCCTAAAGCTCTCGCTATGTGCCTCACTTGCCTTTCGAATTAAATGGGCAGTCGTTCTAGACCACCACCAGTCACATAGCGACAGGGCGAATCCGCAAATAGAGAGCAACACCCTCTGGTCATTCGCACAGCGGACCAGCTTGCACAGCGAATTACCCAGACAGTGAGCACCCTCTACAGGGTCTCGCTATGTGAGACAGCTCGCATAACGACTCTGCATCATCTGCAAAACGCAAATTCTGCAGAATCACACACTCAAATCAGCCCTTACCATTTCTATGCCTCTTGGCCAACTTCTAAGACCTCCAATTCGTGTATTAAGCTCAATTACACCTGCCTAGATGATCCTAACTCTTCCTATTACTAATCTAAAGTGATTAAGATCAGTTTTATCTTTTGAAACATCATTTTCCACAACTCAAGGATCCAAATTCAATTTTTTCCACTTTTGACATGTTCTAGTTCAATTTTATGATCCTAACAAGTCACAATTGACTTGCCTAAGATGTCCCAACAGCCCAATTGTGCCCAAAACCCATACTTTCAAAAATCACAACCTCACTTCCTCTCAAGTGACCCAACACTACCATAACACTAAGTTTTCTATTTTATCAGTATTACCACAGATTCTCACCCAAGGCACTCCCAACATGATTATTTACAGAAATTAAAGAGTCCAAAACAGTTTACGACCATCCCATTTACAACATTCACGAGCCTCAATTTCACATATGAACAGTACAGTACAAACATGCCATACACTCACAACTCAAAATGCAGCCCAAACAACAGAATAAAGCATAAATCAGTCCATACATCTTAACATATAACAAATTATAAAAACGTAGCCTAGCTTCCCTTACCTCAAGTTTTCACAGCTCAACCCAAAGACTCGCCTCAACAGTACCTTGAGTTGTGAGAACTCAATAAACCCTACAGAACACTGGTGACAAAAACAACTCTTAGAGCTAAAATAGAGTGGAAAAACGGAAGGAAAATGGAAGCACAAGCCACATGCAACTACACAGATTGCATGTGCTAGTTCAAGGACAGAGAAAAGCTTGCATGGAGGGACTTACCAACTTAGAATCAAAAACTAATCGAATGGTTACGAAGCTCTCCACGCTGCGGACGTTTTGGCGTCACCTAAGCAGAAATTCAGTGGCTCAGTGAAGAGGGATGAAAGAGAGAAGACAGAGATATGGTAGAGAGAAGGCAGAGATATGGTAGAGAGAAGACAGAGAGAAAAAAAAGGAAGAACTGAGTTTTTCTTATAAAGAGAATGGGTTGTGTTAATGAACCAGAACGTGTATGAAAATGGGCTTTTAAATGAAAGGTTTCTGGTTTCATTAAACTAACTACCCCATTAACTTTATAATTATATTTCAACTACCCCATTAACTTTATAATTATATTTCAGGTTCTTACATATTTATTTTCATTTCTTTTCACTTTCAACTCTCTTACTCTTAATCTAAAGTATCTCATATTTTAGTTTCTTTTCTTCTAAACCCATATATTTTTACTCATTCATCCTCAAATCCAAAGGAATGACATTTTCATGTTTTTATACATTCATTGGTTTTTACACAAACATGATATTTACCCAAACTTCAAGTTTCCATGGTTGGAAACTTTGAAGTTTCCATGGTTGGAAACGAACTTTTTTTTATTGTGTTTAATAACATGAATATCGACTATACCCATATAAAATAGATGCCAATTGAAATTACAATAATAAGTTTTGTATTATATTAACACTTTTCTATTAAAGTTGTTTTAGTTTTACTTATATGAAATTTGAGAATGAATAAAACAAATTCTTCATTTTTCTAAATCATGGCACTTATGTGATTGACAATATGTATAAGAAAAGATGATGAAAACCCTTTTATCTTTCTTATTGTTGTCTAACACCATACCACTCAAAAGATTAAGTAATTTGAAAACAAACAAAAAAAAATATTCGCTTTGCTATTTATGTCTATTATTATTAATAACAAGAATAAATTTTCTTAAAAAATTAATTCTATTACTGTTATTCAAAATATATTTTCTAATTATTTTCATATTCTAATTATTTAAGAAAAATTAAACAAATACATGAAAAAAAACATTAAAAAGAAAGTAATTGTTTCTTAACATGGTAACAATATCTCATCCTCTAGAATATTTTTTTTAAAATGTAAAACATAATTGAAAGTGAAAGAAAACTATATAAACCTACTACATATAATGTTTTTATTAATTCATGGAAGGGTTAAATATAATTTTTAATTTTTTATATTCAGTAAAAATTGAAATTAGTTTTTTTTAAATTAATTAATTTAATTTCTTATTTTTAATTATATAAATATAATTTTTTTAATCAAAAGTCTATTTAATATTTTAAATACATTTCTTAAAAAGAAAACGTGTAAAGCATTTTTTTTACTGACATTAATAACTCAAATGATGCGTTTGTACATCAAATAAATTTTGTTTAAAAAAATTACACAAATCTAAAAATTAACTACTAAATTAGTTGAAACTTTCGAAAAACAAATTCTAATTTTTAATAAAAAGTTAACCCAAAAAAAACATATTTAATTCTTTGTAGAACTGAAGGCAGAGTGGTCGCAGCCGCAACAGGTCGAGAAAATGGGGTCCTTGGGTCGAAGGAGCATGTCCACGGTGGCGAAAGCGGTGGCAGAAATCACAGGCACCGGCAACACCAAGATCCGCAAATCTTCAAGTGAACTCTGCAACTTTCTCGGTATCCCTCGCCACTCTCGTTCCGAAATTGCCCTCATTCTCTCCAAGTTCATCAAACTCTACAATTTCCGGGTTCACTCCCCTCACCTCACTTATTTTTCCCCAATTTTATTCAACACTTTATTATATAACTTTGATTGCTGGTTGGTTATGTTACCTTAAATTTAAGGCATTATGTTTGGTGTGCAGAGTCCTGGTATTAAGAAGGATAAGATTTGGGAGCAGAATTTGCAATCGTTGTTGCGTGGAAGAAACAGTGTTGGCTTTCCTGAGATTGCTAAGATCCTGTCCTCGGAATTCAGCCAGGGTGCCATTAATGTGAAGGACAGTAACATGGATTCTTCAATGGATAGTACAAAGGGGAAAGGTTCTCAAAAGAAAGGGAAGCCTTCTAAGAAGTAGGTCCTCCACACGCGTGTCCTTATTTTGAGAACCCAATTTAGGTTTTTGAAAAAGTTGAAATTTTCTGTTTGCTCAATCTGCTATTTTGCATGATAACGTGATGAGTGAGTTTCAGTGGCAGACTGTTGAGAAAGGTTGGTTATTGTGTTGGTGTCCTTTGAAATAATCTGAGTTCTCTCACTATGCTCTTTTGGCACATTCATCACTGACATGATATACTTGTTCTTTTGTTCAAGGAACTGAAAAAACTATATTAATCTGCTCTTTTTATTTGTTATTGTGGCAGATAAAGAATTCATGTATTATGCTCATCGATGAATGAAAAAGAATGTTAGCTTCTCTATTTACAGTTTGGCAGTGCTTGATTTCTTTATTCAAATCTTCCGACCATAACTTAGCAATTCAATGTATGAACAATTCGACGCATGAACAGTAATTAAAGATGTTGAAGAAGTTTGGTGGTTGTATTTTTGAATAGGTATTAGATATCAGTTTTCTTTTTCTTTTTCTATGGTTGTGTCATGTGGCATAAACATCGGTTTTCTTCTTCTATTGTTTGTTAGCATCTTTGTTTTCTTACCATATACTATGTATCAAAATCCAGTCGATTGTGATTAAACTGGTCAGATAAATGATAATTTAATTTGATGATAATTACATGGAAGCTATTGATTAATTCAGTTTGATGATTAACAAATGGGGAAAGGTAGCACAATCCTTGATACAAAGGAGAAAACAGTATGGCAAGTCATTTCCAAGAAGTGGAAGTTGCTTGCAGCTAGAAAAAATCAATTCAGTAATTTTATATTTTTACATGATTTTTATTTAAAAAATAATAATTAAAATGTTTTTATATATGAATAATTTTTAAATTATTGAGTATTATAATATAAGATAAGACATGTAGCTATACATATATATTTTAGATAACTTATTTTTAAACGTATTATATTTAAATAACTATTTTCAAAGTTTATTTATTAAAATGATTCTTAAATATTAAAATACAAAACCATGATGCATTTCATCATACATATACATATTTCTAAATTTTATTTAAATGTATTTTAGGTTGTATAAAATAAATATTAAAATAAATTATCTTTCATTTCTATCACATCTAAATTTATTCAAATATTTAAATAAATAAACACTAAAAAAATACATGTTATCAAATATATATTTAAACAATGCGTAAATTTATAAAGATAATATAATATAAATAAACTATATGGTAAAGGAATTTATGTAAAATTTGAATAAATTCTTTTTATGAAATCATAATTTTACATGTGTTTAGTTATTGATGCTTGCGTAATTATATTCATGCACAAATAATAATTTATTTTCAAATAAATATTAGACATAATATATGATATGAGATTATGGCATTTAAACGTTGATTAATTAAGTAGCAAATCAAACATGAATAAATGATTGAGATGACGTGAGACAAATCACACGTGGGTTGATTTATAAGAAAAAGTCTAGGAAAAAATATTATTTTGTTAATTCGCTTAGAGTAGGTAGCATAACTCGCAATATGCTTGACCTAGGGTGAGACAAACTAACCTACTTGCAATGTAAGTGATTCGGGATTGATCTATATAAGTTGCAAAAAAGATTTATTATGTTTTAATCTTTAAGTCACACAACTTTTTCTTTTATATCTTAAGTTTATGGAAAAACTCAGCTTTGATGATCTGAGCAGGAAGAACAACGAAAACTTCTACATAATTATGCATGGTATTGTAATCTCACACAAAACATAAAGAAAAAACGAAGGAAGGTTTTATTTCTAAAAATAATATAGACTATGTTACAAAGAAAAGGAAAACAAAGCTATATCTAAAATGAAAGCAACATAGAAAAAACATAAAACTGAAGAATGGCGTTGGCTGCGAAAGGCTCTGTTGGGAGAGATTCGTCAATGTTTTTTTTTGCATATTCTGAAAGTCCCCCACAAGCTGGGCTTGCATGTTTAACATCCAAGCTTAGAGAGAAGGGCATGAAAGGTTGAAGGTGGCAACGCTTTTGTAAAGATATAAGTGTGTTGGTCTTTCGTGTTGATAGGAAGAAGTTTGATGATGCCACTTTAAACTTGTTCTCTCACAATAGTTAATTTCTATATGTTTTGTGTACTTGTAAAAAACTTCATTGAAAGTAATTTGAGTAAATTGGTTGTCACAAAACAAAAGATTAGGTTGTCCTAAAACAAAAGACTAGGTTATGGGTGTTAGATTTTGAGATCTTGAAGAAGAGAATCCATTGTAACTCACAAGTGGTTGACCCAAGAGTCTTGTATTCCGCTTTGTAAGAGCTACTAGACATAATGCATTGTTTATTTTATTTTGGGTTAAATATGTTTTTAGTCCCTAAACTATTGGTCGTTTCTGGTTTTAGTCCTTTTTTCAAAATAAGGTACGGTCCTCATTCTTTTCGAAACTTTGGTTTTAGTCTCGAAAACTAAAGCTGTTAAAAATGTGTTGATGTGTCTAACGGTACACTGACACAATTTTTTTTCTTGCGTTGAATCAGTCTTTCTCACCTTTTCTCCCTCTCTCTCCCTCGTCTCTCCCTCATCTCTTCCTTCCATCTTCCACCCAACCTCCCCACCCTCTGCAAAAAGGGATACCCTTTCCCTCTCCTTCGAGTTCTAAGACTGCCGCCACCCACGAAGCTAACCGCCGTTGCCTCTGCCAAACCGGCCTGAAGCGACGCTGGAGGGATGTTAAAGGATTTGGTGAGATGGGTGTCCATGGCCCTCCCTTGTTGGACTGAGAATGTTTGCAGTTGTGCTAAGATTGTGTTGAAAACGATG